ACTAAAAGAATAATCAAGCAATGTGTAACCTGCGATCGCTTTCGATGCAAGCCAGCTATCGAAACAACCGCACCGCTACCGAGTATGAGGGTGAACCAATTGCTGATCCCTTTGAAATCTCCGGCATGAATTTCGCGGGTCCCCTCTTCTCTAAAGAATGTGGCAGTGTTAGCAAGTGCTACATTCTTATCATTACTTGCGCTGTAACCCGAGCGGTACATCTCGAACTTGTAAGTGACTTGACTACCCAAACATTTATTCTAGCTTTTAGACGATTCATTTCTCGCAGAGGAGTTTGCCGTGTGGTAATGACGGATAACGCACGGACATTCCGATGCGCAAATCGTGAACTGTCAGAACTGTGGAACTGCATACGTCGAGAGGAAGTCACAGCCATGTTTGCGTCTTTCCGAATTGAGTGGCGTTTTATAGTAGAAAAGGCAGCTTGGTGGGGGGGATTTTGGGAGCGTATGGTTCGTTGTGTGAAAACTTCACTGAAAAAGGTTTTAGGACGTAGTTACCTGAAATTCGAGGAGTTGATCACGATATTAACTGAGATCGAGGCAGTGCTTAACTCCAGACCGTTGACCTTCGTATATTCAGAGGTTTCAGAACCATCCCCTCTCACACCAGCGCACTTCCTCGTTGGAAAGCGACTTACCTCACTCCCCCGCAGCGAACCTCCGAGCGTTGTAAGTGCAAGTTCCCTTGACATTCAGAGGCGGTGGGAGCACAGACAAAAGGTGACAGATCACTTTTGGAATAGATGGCGAAGAGAATACCTTAACGAACTCCGGTCTGCCCACCATTCTCGTCCCGTCCTGTCGCGCTCTTTGAAAGAGGGGGATTTTGTGTTAGTAGATGAACATTTACTTCCCCGACAATGTTGGAAAATGGGTCGAGTAGCACAAACGTTTCCTGGACGTGACGGCAAGGTGAGATCTTGTTCGATAAGGCTGCCATACGGCAAAGTTATCAAACGGCCTATACAACTTTTGTACCCATTAGAGTCACTTAATGAATAAGCAGAGATGCTCATTGCGGGGGCGGAAGTGTGTAGAATATTTGTATGAACTTACATGTTTCATTGAAGACAAAGAAAAGGACAAATACTTGATCGCGAAATTTAGAAACGGAATGAAGAGGAGGATGAAGACGTGATCGCAAAGAAACGCCTCAACGGACCTCAACGCATTCCAAATGTAAATATTGTACATAAATCCCTTTGATTACTCCTCCTGTACCGATATTTTACAAAGTTACCTTTTATCGAGCAGGTATTCGCACAACTTGCTATTGTTCTACAAGACCCCCGTTGACGTCATGGCGCGTGGTTCTCATGGCCGCCGTTCGCGGCTGCAGGTCGGGGAATATTCCAAGTTTTGCCTCGCGATTACGCGGCGGAATCGCAACATTTCGAAGGAAGGAGATGCGTTTTCTGTCCATTGTGACAAGATGAACAATGTAAAAAGTAGAAGATGCCAATTCTTTCAACGTTAAAATCGTTGCACAGCTCCTTAAAGGGGCAGTGCAACGATTTTAACGTTGAAAGAATTGCCCGTTTGCATTTGTTATACTGTTTACGCAAGCCCAAGTGACCAAAAACGCGTAGCCTTTCCCCGAAAATCTGCTTTCCTGCTGAGTAATCGCAAAGCAAAAAAATGAAAGCCGTTTACAACTCCCTGTAACGCCGAATTGGAGCGCAGCTCTTGAGGAGGAGGAGGGAAGGGTACTGGGGGGTGGGTCAAGTGACCTCGGGGGGCGGGGGGTCACGTGACCTTGGGGGTCACGTGACCTTGTGGGAGTCACGTGACCTTGGGGCGTCACGTGACGTCGGGGGGGTCACGTGACCTGGGGACACGTGACGATACCGATGACGTCATCAGTAGCGTCACTGATGACGCCATCAGTGATGATGATGATGCGGATGCCGGTGACGTCATCAGTGATGATGACGATGCGGATGCCGGTGACGTCATCAGTGACGTCACTGATGACGTCATCAGTGGCTATGACGTCAACGGGGGGTCACGTGACCTCGGGGGGTATCCCCAGGTCACGTGACCCCAGGGGGGGTCACGTGACCTGGGTAACCATCGTGACCCTCGTGAGGGTAACCCTAGTAACCCTTGTGAGGGCAACTCTCGTGACCCTCGTGAGGGTAACTCTCGTGACCCTCGTGAGGGTAACTCTCGTGACCCTCGTGAGGGTAACTCTCATAACCCTCGTGAGGGTAACCCTCGTGAAGGTTACCCTCACGAGGGTTACTAACCCTCGTAACCCTCGTGAGGGTTACGAGGGTAAGTAACCCTCGTGAGGGTAACTCTCATAACTCTCGTGACCCTCGTGAGGGTAACCCTCGTGAAGGTTACCCTCACGAGGGTTACTGATCCTCGTAACCCTCAAAAGGGTTACCTTCACAAGGGTTACCCTCACGAGGGTTACTAACCCTCGTAAACCTCGTGAGGGTTACAAGGGTAAGTAACCCTCGTGAGGGTTACAAGGGTAAGTAACCCTCGTGAGGGTAACCCTCGTGAAGGTAACGCTTTTGAGGGTAACTAACCCTCGTAACCCTCGTGAGGGTAACAAGGGTAAGTAACCCTCGTGGCCCTCGTGATCCTCGTGAGGGTAACCCTCATGAGATTAACCCTCGTAACCCTCGTAACCCTCACGAGGGTTACGAGGGTTGCGGTTACGCCGACGGCGACGGCGACGCCGACGGCGACGCCGACGGCGACGCCGCTCAGGCCGGGAACGGGCCCCTAAGAGCTGCGCTCTAAAACGAAATATTTGCCGATCTGCAGCCGCCTGTGGCGGTCGGGAACCAAAACGACGGCGTCTCTGGGGGTACGCGCGAAAGTCAACAAAACTTGTCCCCCTCCGCTGCTACACTCGCCGTCAGCCCCGTGGCGACCCGTCTTTTGTGTCGATCGCTCGCCAGCCGCGACCTTCGACGAGGCTAATCCCTCAAAGTCGACAAACGCGGAGGAAGCGGCGAATGTCTGTGAAGAGACTCGGACCCAAGGGGAAACCACGTGAACCCCCAGAGTACGTCACTCAAAAGTCGGCGTCGAGAGTTGAGAGGCACTTCGACCTTCGATTTGTTTCTTTTTCTTTTTAATAAGAACTAGCGCTCGCAAGAAAATGCGGTTTTCAGTCTTTCGTGTCATAGGTGACGCAGATTAATTTCCGCATTAATTGCCTGAAACTGAGTATTGTCAAGGTACATGACCCCGATTCTCCTAAAGTCCTCACTTTTTTTCTTTTTTTTAATTTTCTTGCCAGCATTGTGGAAGATTATCAATCCATCCCACTCTCCCTCCCCCACGAAATTGCTCCAGTAAAGTATTTGGTTAGCCCCTTTTCCCTCTTTCAACAGCCTTCCTCTCAACCGCCTCGAGTTGGCACGACGAAGGCGAATGTAAAGTTCACCGCTCATTTGCATGGTCTTCGTTTCCTGCGGATGCGAAGGGGAGCGGCGCGAGCACGGACTCAGATATATGCACAGGGCACGGTTACCGCGGTTTTATGCGGGACATGATCACAGATTTGTTTCATTTTCGAGTGTATCCCTCAGGCGCGTCACGTTTTGCATACATATCAATTCACTTTAGAACATCTGAAAAAAGCCTTCGACCGATAACGAAAATACAGTGAGAGTGCAGGCGAGCCTGTGAATGTTGGTAATGTTGAAAATTACCCGAGACTGTGGTAAAAGATGGGAAACTTTGTACAAGGAAAAAGGATATATAGGTAAAGGAACGTCTCCAATTCAGCTAATGTATTTACTTCCTCAAATCCTTATATATATCCACAAGCCCAACTCCGACCACGGATGTGACGGCCCCATCCTTCGTTAAACATTTCACCCTACCATTGTTATACAGTTTGAATCATTCAAAGTCGTCACTTGAACCCTAAACGGTGAACCCACCTCGCAGCTGGGAACTTTGCTTCTTGAACACTACAACCCCAACGATATGACCTGCACCCCATGTAAGCAAAGACAAAACTTCTCTGGACTTCCCGAAACAAAGACCGAACTTCTTCTCCTTTCCCCTCAAAAGGCCCTTCTTTATGTCGAGTGGAACTTTCAAACTCACATAAAAATCAAATGCGTACAACGCAAACACAGGAAGTTTTGCGGCGGTGTTGTCGTTGCTGTACGAATGAACATCCGTACAGCATTGATTATTTCCTCCGTACGTAAAACAAACAAAGACGTAGAGTGCTTAATTGAGCTAGCTTCAGATGGCAAAACACTGAAATAAATATGTAACTTTTGTTGGTTTGTAAATGTAGATCCATTAAACACGATAAACACGAAATTGCCTTCCGGCAGTTCCTAAACGTAAGATAAAAAAAAGAGTTGAATTAAATAAATGTTACCATCTGTGTAGCAAAAAAAAACAAACAAGTTTTTCGGTTTTAAATTGAAAACCATGTTGGGCAAAACGACGCCTAAAAGGGCTCAAAACGTTTCATCGAACCAAGTTCGTCGAACCCAATTTCGTCGAACCAAGTTTTATCGAAAGACGTTGAAGCTAATGGCGCTAATATCATCGATCGATAGTTTCATGGAATGGCGCTTTGACGAACAGAAGAAACAAATTCGACAAGCCAGACAAGGAAACTAAAACAAGGAACACAAAAAACGAGAAAAAAAAAAAGAACAAAAAACACAAGGACAAGAAAAAAAAATACAGACATATGTATTGGCCTTTCATTCTTTTTTTTTTTTTTTTGTCTTTTTGTGCTGTTTTCTTTTCTGAGTAACATGTACCGATTCGCCAAACTACAAACATCGCTAGCCAAGCAACGCTGGCACCATTCGACCCGGACGACGGCATCGCTTTTTCCCTATAAATTGAGTTTTTATGTTGAGGTCTCTAAAACGGCGTTCGCTGAAATGACTTTTGGTTAATACTCCATCCTTCATCTCATCGAGACCGTGCGCAGGGTCGACCAATATGGCGCCCGCCAAACAAAGAGAAACTCACCGAATGCTTCCAGGATGGTGTTCGCCTCGAGGATCTGCTGCTCGATCCAGGTGGACACGTTGGTCGTCACCGTACACAGGTACTGGAGGATGAACTTGGTGGTCTCCGTCTGCAAAACGAGCATACATAACACCCAGTTTGCGAGGGCTCATTTCGCTGAGCTTAAATCGGCGGAGGAAAACGTTCCCTGCACGGAAGCTACCTTGACCACTTGAGGTCGTCGCAGACGTTACCACCTTACCATAAGCGGAATAAAACGGTTCGTTCCGATGATGTGTGAAAACATCACGTTTTGGATTGTAAAACTGTTGTTATTGGTTTTGTGTATATTGTACCCCTTCTTTCTTTTATAGTTTTTTTTTATGTTTCGCTTTGTCATTACAGCTAACTTCGAGGGGGACGCTTGCTAAGTCACCTTCATTTCCACTGTACACATGACAAAATGGAATTTCAATTGAATTCAAATTAATGCCGAGTTACCGTTCCTAGCTTGTTCTGTACCTATGTTTGCAAAGCTCGCTTTCCTCCGTAGCTCCGAATCAAAAGTGACGTCATTCTATGGCGCTAGGTTAAAAGTAAAGTGGAAGCTCCTCCCATTCTCTTTCCACTTCAGCAGAGCGAACGCTGGAGAGGAGGCGGCCTCCTCTCCAGCGTTCGCTCTGCTGAAGTGGAAAAAGGTGGGAGGAGCTTCCACTTTGTCCTTGACCTGTCACCTACTATAGTTCCATCTGCGCAATATACACAGACTTTTTGTTCCCCAACAAAACGAACATGTTCTTTTGTGGTCAAGTTGCAGTGCTATCAAGTTAATGAAAATTTAAAGGATGGATGCTAACGGCTGTGCCCATTATAACGGATAATAACGGACAATAGCTTGCGCCACCTAGCCTAAAAGCAGCGAACAGTGTTTGTCGTTCATCGCTGCATTGTGTACGAGGCCTGACCTTTCCAGCGCCGCTCTCTCCGCTGATGACGCACGCCTGGTTGGCGGTCATGTTCTGGAGGCTGTCGTAGGCGGACTCCGCGATGGCGTACACGTGGGGCTCCTGCTGGCCGATCTTCCGGCCGTTGTACCGGAGCACCCAGTCCTGCAAGGGAACCGGAAGTTGGCCAACCATGATGAGGTTCGCACAACGTCGAAGGCTGCGAACATATCTCTCGAGGACAAAGCGTACGACAAGGTTGGACTTCGTCAAAAGACAATGGGCTAAACGGTTTCAGGTTTCAAAAGCTGGTCCAGCCGCCGTGGATGAAAAACTCCTTGTTAGGGCATCAATCTGAAACCATGGGCACGCCTTAGAAAGGCTCGACTATATATCATCTGCGGATCCAAGTAGCAAGATGGCGGCTCGCAGACTTGGAGGTACACAATGTAAAGCCCTAGGCGTCCAAACACCATTCTGAAGAATGTCTTCCTTTGGCAGCCAAGTGTGACCAAAAAGCCCACACACTGCCACCCCCCCCCCCCCCCCACCCCACCCCCCCAAAAAAAGAAAAAAAAAAAAAAGAACCCTTTTTTTTTTTTTTTTTAAAGACAAGATTTGAGGTTCGTTGAACCTGTCAACTGGGTACAGGGAGGTCCCTTAGTTGTATCGCCTCCAGCGAGGACTTCGGGCAGCGAACGGCAGGGCGTCGGAATGAGACGCCCTGCCGTTCTGATTCTGTCAATGAGTTTTTTTTTTTTTTTAATGACTCAATGACAATAGTTCTTTAAATGACAGGATAATGTTGTTGTCCAGTCCCCCCCCCCCCCCCCCTTTTTTTTTTTTGCTTTTTGACCGTTTCCCAGTTTTTTTCTGTAAATTCCAAATCTCAGATGTCCGAGCTGCAGGAATCGGTAGGCTCGCGGTATTTACAAAAGTTCGAATCACATTGAACTGTTCGAACCGATCGGGTTCGATAATACGGTCAGAGTAGATCGAAGAGACACTCACCGTGTCGTAGATGTTTAGCTCCTTGTAGGGATTGACGGCGATGAGGATGGTCCCTGTGTATGTCTGGAAGCGTTTCGGTCAAGGGCAAACGGACGAGGACATCAAAACCAAATATGCATTGCACAGATAAAGAAGCGCCTCTGGAGCCCAAAGAAACGTGCAAATTGGCAAATAAAAAAAAACAAAAAAAAAAACGGTAATTTTTTTAAGAAGTATTCACAAGTAAGAACATAAGCCACCTAACTGTTACAAGCGGACATACGAGTATGTAGTGTGTCTGTGCCCTTCAACTTGTATTTATGCCGCTGAGATGTTTTTGTTTTGTTTCTTTTTAATGAAATTTTTCAAGTTTCAGAAAGACGAAATTTAAAGAAGAAGAAGCCTGTTGTCTTCCCAAGAGGAGCAACGAAGACGACGACGACGACGACTGTGCCAGTCACCGGCACCGACCGCAGCGGGCCGACGCAGCGTTCGGCGCGAACAACGATGGCGCGGCAGCGCTCGGTGGAGGTCCCCTGAGAGGCCGCCGCCGTCTGCGCTGCCATGGACAGGGTCCTCCTGGAAGCACTTGAGGGCGCTCCCAAAGGCAGGCTCGAGGACGGCGGCGCCCTGCTCCAGGCTGTCTTGGACTGCCTCGACCTGCAGCCGGACCAGCGCGGGGCCGTCGTCAGACACCCCGTCGGATTCGCCCCAGAGGTCGTCCTCGACTTCGTGCGCAGCATCACCGCGCTTGAAGTAGACGACGTGGGAGTTTGTTCCGGGGAGACGCAGCTGGACGGCAACAACAACGTGAACACCGACAAGCATCTGCTGGACGCGTCGCTGGAGGCCTTGGACTGTGATTACGCACCCGTGCTCTTACCGCTCGTCGCGACTAGGGCCAGCGATCCCGGCGTCGCGTCCAATGGTTCCCTCGGGGACCTGCGCCGCAGCGTCCAGCACCTGTCTTTGACGACGAGCGTGGACGAGGAGCGAGCGGTGCTTAGCCAGGTGCTCCAAGCCGTTCACCAGCTTGGCAAGGCCGAAACGACCGAAGACAGCACAAGACCCAGCGAGCTAGAGAACCTGAGGGAGACGGAGTCAACGACGGTGACCGGGGGGACGTCCGAGCCAAACACGTCGACGGGTGACGAGAATGGAGACTCTGAAGAACAGAGCAACAACACAACTAACTCGGATAGAACAAGCTCAATTGCCACGAGGACCGTCGTGACGGCCGACCGATCCGTCTTGGCCGACGGATCCGTGGAGGTCGTGTCTTCCGACGACAGCACTAACCCGGAGGAAACGAGTCCGACTGCCGCAGGGATGGTCATCACGATCGACGACCGATCAGCCCTAGACTTATCCGCGCTTCCCGATCCAATGCTGCAGCAGGCCTACCTTGTGATGCAAGCCGAGCAGCACAGCATCAACCTTATCACGCCGACGGTGTCCCATTTCGAACCGTTAGTGGACGTCAATTCGCTCTATGCTTTACGTTGTGTCCAGGGCAACCTCTTCCGCGAATACACGACACTTCTTCAATCTCAAAGGGAGCCAACGGTCCATCACGTCTCCGAACCCGAGATGAATCAGGCCTTTGGCACGAGTCAGTCCGTACCTTATTATTACCACAACGCAAATTTCATTGACCCGCTGGATGGAGGGCCGTACCAGACGCCGCTGCTACTCGAATACGAAGACCCGTTTCCCTTTCCTCCGTCCAACTGCAACCCTGAAGAGGTGGTCGCTGCTCACGTTGAGGACAGTCCCTTTCCCCTCCCCTACATGCTGTCTCATTTCGAGCAGCCCGCGAATGGGGAATTAGACATCGGCAATCCGCAGGCCGATATCTTCAACAGCGGCTCCTTTCCCTCAAGCGTAGACGAGAAATCCTTCATCAACTTCCTCTTCTCCAACATGTCAAACGACGCCCCCGACGACAAGTCAGCAGACGACGTCAACCAGTGTCTGTTGCAGCTGAGCAGTAATGGTTTATTTCAAGAGAGGACGGAACGCCTCCGTCAGACTGTTGGGGAAATGGTAGCACCAGGCGAAGAACCTTCACTCCTGTACCATCTCGGCGACCCTGTACAGTTAGAACTCATTGACCGCAACAATAACCTAGTCCAGGAAGACAACAGTATCCACCCTAAACTGACGACCATCGACGAGTTCGACCAAGGCATCGAGTTGGCCACTGAGCGGGAAACCCTCAGCAGCACGCAGGCTCGCACGGACACCAGCGACGACGACGAGCGCAATCAAACGTCTAGCGCGAAATCTTCAGTCGGGGCGGTTCGGAAGGGCACCGAAGCGGAGAAGACAGTTTCCGACCAAACCGAACTCCAGAAAACTTTCCACGCCTTTCCACTCCAAATTGAAGACAGGGTGCCCGAGTTCTTACAGGTACTCCAGGAAAAGAACATGTTCAAGGAAATCAGCGATGACCTCGTCACAGAGAGCGGGCAGATACTCTTGCCCGGGGACCCGGTAAGGGCAATGGACTTGCTGCCTGCCGAGCCAGAACGAAATTACAACGTGCTCAAGACGTCCCCCGAGCTCCGTGGATGGCGTAAAGCAAGGACGTCCCCCATTTCCGACGGCAAAAGGACCCAGAGTTCAAACTCTGGCTCGTCCAGCTCGGTGGAGGAAGAAACGAAACCGCGACGGAGGAACCCGAGGCGCACCTTCTTTGATGCAGTGAACAGAGCCCCCGACTCCCAACCAGAGGCGCTTTCCCGGAGTTTACCCATAGTCGAATGGCCTCCACGGGTGACGGCGAAGCTACCAGCAGAAGCCTGGCTTCGAGAGCTTAGCGAGCTCACGAATGGCACCGCCTGTCCTGGGGAAGTAGTAGGGGACAGCGTGGAAGGGCCTGTCGAGGAAGCTGCCATGTTCCAGCCGCTCCTCAGCGCAGACGATGTTAGGCTCTTCCAGACGACAGTCAACACGCTGACGGAGCGAGCGAACGTCATCCGGGACAAGTCGGAAGACTTGGGCGGTGCGAACGAAGACCGAGCGAACAAGACCCGTGTATGGGTGAGTATCGATAATTATAATAGCTCGTAGTTTATAAACAAGCATATTTGCCCACGGAGACCGTGGGAAATGCGTAGAACTTATAAGAGCGTGACGCATCTCCACATGCTCCATTGGAGAGCCAGCGTCCCCGCCTTGGCATGGCGACAAAAAATTGAGTTGCTGTGTAAAGCAAAATATAATGTTTTTCCATGATGGAATTCTCGTCGCGTATTGCTGTCATCTAGATCTAGTTAAAATTAGGCATTAGCATTATTATTTCGCAGACTCCAGAAATAGAGTGCATGTGTGTATACAAACGGCGCACTGGAGAATCGATGTTCTACATAACCTCGGCAATTTTGTAACACCATGCACCACAATTCAAGAAATGGAAAGTTAGCTTAGTTACTTACGAGAGAGAAAAAGAGATAAGAATTAGTGATAAATGTCATCAAGCGCTGCCAAATGAGTACTACATAATCAGGAACCTACATATAAGTAGAGCAGTTGTGGTGCCGGCGTATTGTATTCCACAACGCATCATCCCTATGCACGGGACGTTGCAGCCCGTGTACCGTTGCCATGAAACCAAACACGTTTCTGTAGTGTAAGAGATCACAGAGCGGAATTCGGCTCATCGGTTTCAATCGAAACCCTTCATGGTGTAGAAGCGAAAAAAAATATCCGAAACAGAGGAGTGAATCCGATTCTGCTGGCTTCAATGTAAAGGTATAATGCACATACTTGCGACTGCTTACGACTTTATGCCTTAAAAATGCTTAAAATCTCTTACGACGAAAGAACACACTGGCGCCTTCTATCGGGCGGCCGTGGAACATTTGGCATTTCCGTATATTTGCAAGTTCTTTTCGCGCATCATTTTTCTTTTTTTTTTACTTAAATATCTTCTGGCAATTTTATAACATATAAGCGACCATTTCTCATTTATAGTACGTACACTTAATTGATCTCCCAAATACCGAAACGCTTTCACTCGAGTGAAAAACAGATCCAGGGACACTTCATAGATGGCGCCAGCGTGCCAGTGTCTTCTCTCGTCGTACATAATGGAATAAAACAGCGCGATGAGACACACCAGACAGGACAGAGCGCTGTTCGTCAAAGATCACAAGGACTCGGGCATAGGCAAACGCAAGTGGGTGAACAGGCCTATATGAGAGCCTTCGAAAACGTCTCTTACCACCCACGCGTTGGTCTTTACAGGCTTCATCGACAAGTTCAGCAACGGAGAAGACGTGCTCTCAGAGGACCTCCCGGCCCTCGCCCGTCCATCAGCGCCGAACTGTCTACCACGCTTCCGGAGGGTTCTCAAGACAGGAAGGTCAAACCGCACCCAGCGAGCCGCAACAGTACCCAGAGCCGGGTCACCATCAGGAAGTCCTGCTGAGTCGCGGCCTGCACACCGAGGTGCCTCTGTCCTTCGCTCAAGAGGACATCAGGTTCGACTGCGACTCCCCATTGTTCCCCGGACTCCGGCTGCGACCTTCTGGACATTCCGTCCGGGACATCCGCAGTCCACCGGTCTCCCCGTTGGACATGTCCAGCGTCCTGACCGCGGAAGACGGTAGCGATCGCGGCAATTCGGGCTCGCTGCTGCAGATCTTCGACGAAGTGCATCCCAGCGCGGTCAAGAAGACGCCCACGGTGGTCAATTTGATGCCCAAAATCAGCGAAGAACAGGTGGACTGGTGGCCCCCTTGTCTTCCAGAGGAGTCCGGCTATCACCCCTAAGCCGACAGTGCACTGGAGGCTACGTGCTGGTTGGACCAATCAGACGTCTCTCTTGCGCCAACGTGATCACGCTCCTGCCCACATCCACGCTCGGAGAGTGGGATCAGGGCATGAAAGGGAAGCGGCTCATTGGAACGACGAGCGCGTACGACCCACCGTACTTTCGGTTTAGCGGTAAACGGAGTGTATACGTTGCGCGCTTTGGGAGTCGAAGGGAGCCCAAAATTCTGCTGCGCGGATTGCTGAAAGGAGAGACGGAGACCTCGGCGAAGCGAACAAATGTCCCATCACACCAATTTGTTCAC